CATTTTCTCAATCCCATGAGTTGGATTCAATTCTTCCCTCTCCTAAAAATTAGCCTTATTAAAAAAAAAATAAAAATGGATATTAAACTATAAGTTTTTGAGTTACAAAAATGTATTTCCATTTCTTTAGTTTAACTCTCCCTTTTTAGTTTTTACAATAAAAAAAAAAAATTAAACTAGGATTCTCTATCAAATAGATAATTTTTTATGTCAACAAAATTGACGAAAAGGAGGAGTGACTACATGTTATGTCCATCAATGATTATATTGAAATTGATTGGAATAAATGATTTAGTTATCCAGTTGCACCACATGAATGTATAAGATTAGAGACCTGAACAATCCATTGTAAAAAGATTGAGTACCAGCCATACGATTTATGCTTAAATTATCTGTTTTCTTGATGATTGAAAAATGGTGGAAGCCGTGATGGGTAGAAATGATGGGTGTGAAAGAAGAGAGGTGCATTTGTTGGTGGAGGTGCTTGTCATGATTAAAGCATGAAACTTTGGAGGCTTTTATGTTGTCCAAAATGTGACACTGACACACGAGAGAGAGAAAGAAAAGGAGTGGCTGAAGGAGGAAAACGGGGTTCAGAAATCACACTTCAAATCCCATCTGTGGTTTTTGATGGTTTCATGATTGCAAAGCTGTTTAATGACATGTCCCTCTCCCTTCCACCTTTAACCGTCGAGAATCCAATAACACTACTTTCTCCTTTCTTTTCTTTTCTTTTTTACTGTGTGTGGGTGTTTTTTTTTGTCCCATTTTGTTTGTAGACTTAGTAGATCTTTTATCTCTTTCTGCTGAAAAAAATAAATCTGTCCATTTCATTGTAGTTGTCTTTTTTTTTTTTCCCCCCTTATCTTATCTTAGTTGTCTTATTTTTTGTTTATATATTTATATGATAAGCATGTTGTTTTATAGTTTGGATAATGAAATAAAAATTTTTTAATTGAAGAGAATTACTGAAACCTTTTTTTCATTTAAAAGTTTTATCATGCAATTCAATATAATTTATATTGAACAATAATTTTTTGTTATATAAGTTAAGAATTAGTTAAAATTTTATGATTAAATGTTAAAATAACATATTTATTTCTAATAATATTTTTATCATTTTTATAAATAAATTTAAATTATAGGTATACAATTAAAAATAAATATAAAATAAAATAATTAAATTAGAACTCCAAATTTAATAATTGTGATAACTTTTTCTAAAAAACAATAATTGTGGTAACTAAATTAGGACACAGGGACTACTAATGTTCTTTATTGGGCCATCGAAGAAACATTGTTGATGTGGGCCTAGCCATAGATCATGCAATGCACTCAACAAAAGTTGGACAAATCTAGTCTTCCTAATTAAAAAGATAATATATATATATATATATAGAAAGGCATATAAAGTAAAATAATCATATCCTTCTGCCCCAATTGTATGGATATTAAGATTAAAATGATATAAAATGTTTTGTCTCTCCAATTTGATTCATCCATACTATTGATTATTCCAAATGATTGCTTAAGTTGGAAAGAAAATTTATCCTTAAAATCGTTGATCAAAGTTCAAACTCTGGAGAAAGTACTTTCCCTCCTCATCCCAAAATAAGTGTTGTTTTGGGGTACTTAATTTTTGTTATAAGTTAAAGGATCATTTTTACATTATGTAGTTAAAGTTTGTTTAATAATTCATTTCATCTCTACAATATATTCTCTTTCATAAGTACTTACCTCCACAATAATTAAAGGTAAATTTGT